TATCATATGATTGCAAAATAGTACGATTATCTTATGCCCTTAGATAGTACGAAGGCAGTTCTCTTTCATACAAGTTTAATCTATCAGTCATTTCTACAGAAACAAATGCCTCCCACCTAAGAGACATGGCCCGCTTCTCTGCACGCGACAATAATTGTATTTTTTGATAAATTATCAATAAATTTTAATAATTAAATTTAATTCTCATTAAATCTTATTAAAAATAAATTTTTATAAGATCGTTGTTAAAAATAATTTTTTGTGACGATTTTTTATATACGTCGCTAAAAATTGACAATTAGTTACTTTTTTATCATAATTTTTATAAATTGTTACTAAAATTTACAATTAGTGATTTTTATTATGATTTATTTTTTCTATAGGATCTATTAGATAATAAATTGACTATTTTAGAATTGGTAAGTTCTCCATGTTTTTGCCTTAATGGGCCCATCATTATTGATAAAAAAATTTCCTTTGGTCAGAAGTGTAGGAATAATTTTAAATCATTGATACGTACATACTAACCCCCCAATGCATAATTTCACCATACAATGAAGTGAACATGTTCAACCTTAACCAATCCAAGTTTCATATAACAGTACTCTTTATATATAGCAGTATTCTTTTCAAAGAAGAAACACAATCTACAATACATAATCGCATAGAGAAGTAACAATAAAAGAAGAACAACATGAACGGGTACCCCTCTCTCTCTCTCTCTCTCTCTCTCTCTCTAGCTGATTCGTTGAAGCCACACGTCTTACTTTTCTAATGGTTATTCTTATTAGTGAGTGACTTTGTTTTTATCACTTTCGTTCTGTGTATTATTATTATGTTTGTGTGTTTGTTATTGCAGGCAAGAAGAAGAAGAAGGAAAAAAGAAAATAAAAGAAATTTTGAAGAGTGGGCTCGGCTACCCTCATGATCGGCACGTCTCACGGTCGACCCCTGCCGCTCGGCCACCCTCGTGGGCGGCCCCCCCCACCGCCCCCCCCCCCCCCCCCGCCACTACCACCCCACCACTACCGACACCACTACCATCACTGTCATACTATTATCACCACCACTACCACCATTATTATAATATAAAAATTGAAATATATAATTTGAAAATAATAGATTTTAGGAACATAAAAACCAATTACAAAATTAAACTTAATCCTTTTAAATGAATTAGATCTTGTGTTTTTGTAAGTTTCGCACTTATATAAAAGAATTATATCCAATTTTATGATTGATTTATGTACAAATTGAAAAATTATGAGACTTTTCATGGTATAATAGTTCCAAATCGTCATCCCAATGATGATTTAAGAATGATAGAAATCTCACAACAATTGAACCTAACACATTTGTTTGTATTATACCATATATGGACATAGAAAAAAATAGTTCAGGTTTGTTGGACGGTGTAGATTCAATTTTGTGTAATGACTCACTCTTAAAATGTATCTCAGTTATTTAATATTTTTTTTAAATGTTCTTTTAAAAGGAAATTTAGTCAAAACTTTTTTATTAGACCCTTATTTTGTGAAAATGACAACTCAATTTATTTTGCTTTATAAATCTCTTAAAGAGGAAGGACATAATTGAGTACGGATAAAGTAAAATATCAATTTTTTTTTTGTTAGACAATATTACCAGAGCAACATGTTACTGTGAGACAGAGTAACATGTTACTGTTTACATCAATTTTGAAGGTAATAAATTTTCATTTTTATTTTTAAAAATTAGCCAACATGGATCTTATTTGATAGACTTGATGAGAAGATTTAAAAAATATTAATTTTATTCAAAATCGACATCTAAATTAAAAATTATATTATTTAAAATTTAATAATAATAATATGTGTTGTACTTATTAATTTTTTTTTTATATTTATTCTTAATACATTAAACTTTTTTTTTTTTTCAAAAAATATTTTGTATTTCTAGCACTGTTGATGACATAAATGCGGATCTTCCAAGCCAGCTCATATTTTGGAGGGGTCCACCTGTGATGAAAAAAAGAGCATGACCTTTCTAATCATGAGAATTGTAGAACAGAGATTTGAGATTAATATCAAGAGTGATGATCGGAACTTCCACATTACAAGGCGTTCATGATGTGAACTTTATACATATATAAGTACGTTTTATATATATATATATATATATATGAAAGGTCAGTCCTAAACATTTCTCTAATATCAAAGGAGTCCCCATCCATTCACACTCAAAATTTTTATATTACTTCAAAGTTCTAATATTGGAACAATATCAACCATATAATATTGTTGTGATACAAAAACGAGAAGTAATTATATATAATTATATACATATTTTTGAACGAAAGTAAATCTGTTGTTAGAAAATGCTAAAATTATGCTTTAAAATCAAGATTTCAGACACTACCAACTCTTCCACAATCTTTTTAAGCACTCAACTTGTTATTTTGCATTAGAATTTTTGAATTATTTTGAAGCACTCGACAATTATTTTGATGTTGAATTTCATACTCAAGCAATTCTAATGCAGACGAGATTTGAATATCAGTATTTATTATTTAAAATTATTAGTTAATTAAGAAGTATGAATAAATATGGTAGTGTTTCGTTTGGGAACAGGCTATTTTAGTAATTTTTTGACTTTTTACGAAAAGATGTGTAGAAAAGTAAAGAGGTGATGTGACTAGTTTTAGTTGGCTTTTTGACTTTTTAGCTAAAATAGTCAGTCCCCAAACGAGGCCAGGGCTGTTTATACTTGAGAAATAAAATAGAGAGTTTTTTTATTGTTTGTTTTTAGAAAGAGTATTTCTTGGTTGAATTTGTTCATGGGTTGGTATTGTTATTTGTTCGTCTTTTCTATATACTTCCCAACATCAAATTCCTTGACAATCTTTTCTAGTGCTTGACAATTATTTTGAAGCAAGATTTGAGAGTGAATAAACAATTCCTCCACACTCGTTTCAAGCACTTGAGGATTATCATGAAGTAGGATTGCAATGTCAATCAATTCCTCCACATTCTTTCCAAGAACCCAATAGTTATTCTGAAGCAAGGTTTCAAACTCAAGCAATTCATTATTAGCAAAAGAAAGTCTTATTGATGAAGACTAAACGTTCAAGCAAACACTTAGACAAAACATCAATAAAGAAGAAGCAATAGCAACAAGCATCATATCAATATTAACCAATCCCAACTAGGTTGGTATTGAAAAGGAAGCCCAATCATGTGCTAATACAAGACCAGAGGTTGACGAGAAACCATCCAAAGCAAAAAAAACAAAACAAAACAAAACACTAATGTTGTGTTTGGTTAGGAGATTTGAGGAATGATTTGGAAAGGGAAATGGAAAAGGAAGGTGAAATATGAATAAAATATATCTATATTTCACCTAGTTTCGCATACATTTTTCCTTTCCCTTTCCAAATCTCTATCCAAATCCCCCAACCAAACACAACGTAAATACAACAAAACACCCAAACCCAAAAAGAAAATATTGTTTGGCTTGACATGAACTTCTATGCCTCTGCCCCATTGATCAGCCCAAGTTAGTGCCTTGCTTCCCATAGAGCTAATGACACCATCAATTGTGAATATGAATTATCAATGCTGAAGCTGTGACCTCTGCATCAAGCCAACAACATTACCAGAAACACCAGCAAAAGCTGCAATCCACAAGGATCCACTGCTCTGCTTGAACCGGTGCACACAGAAACACAACAAAATAACCTCAAGAATTCTCAACACAATTACAAATCTGTTGAATGTGACAGATAAAATCATTCACCAAAAAATCCTTGGATTTAGGTTTTGATTTTGACCAAAGAGACACTCACAAATTAATAATCTCGATCATGGATTTCTAGTTGGGTCGCACTCCATTGAAAACCAACTTGTTCCAAACATTTCCAGTCTCCAAATTGTCCATAAAATTGCAGAAGGAAATCCCCTCCCAAAATAACTGTTACCTTCTTTCTGATTCCAGTCCCTGCCACCATTGGATGCAAGCAACTCAAATTTTCCAAGATTTGGAGCAAAGAAGCAAAACATGATCAACTGTCTCCAATTCTAATTTGTAGAAATGACAATGACCAAGACTTGGATCAATAATCAATCCAACTTTCAACAACTTCTCTGCCACTTTAACCCTGACATTCCAGGCCAACCACCCAAAACATTGAACCCTATGCGAAAGTAATCCTACTTTGGGGCCCCAGCAATGCTTCAAGCCACTTATATAGGGATTGAATCGAAAAAACATTGGAAGAATCAGCTCTCCATAATGACAACCTATCCTGGCTGCCAGCATTTAGAGATGGGATAAGAGAAACTCTGTTTTGAAGAACCCTCAGCTCCTCCTTCCACCAAGGTCTTAATGATCATCTTAATAACCCATCCTTTACTATCTTTCCACAAAACAATTCACTGAATTGTTTTCAGAGACATAGAGATTAAAAGGTCTAGGAAATTCCTCCTTCAATAAATGAGGTCATTTGGATAAATCTTTTCAAGCACTTGACTGTTATTTTTTTGAAGCAATATTTCTAAGATGATCAATTCCTACACAATAGTTTCAAAAACTCGACTATCAAGAATTCAAACTCAAGTAATTACCTCACAACCTTAACAATTTAACCTCACTCCGTTTGAACATGATTAAATTGGAGCTTATCATTTTTAAAGAGAAAGTCCGTTGAAATAACATTTAATCACAATAATGTCAGCACCATAAATAACTTAATTTTTATACAAAATTCAATCTTCACCACAAACTTCAATTCATGACATAAATCTGGGCCCAAAATCTGGATTCCCAGACTTGCTGATTTTACAAACATATGATATGCCCTTGACATTCTAGCTAGTACAAATCTTGTTGAAGCTAGAAAGTAAGGCATAACTATTTGACTTAAGTTGATCTACATCACAGAACAACATAGGAACATATGAATTATCAACAATGCCAGATGACCATGTTATAATTATCCTAGCATTATTGACAAATTATTCATATCAACGAAAGTTAGCACGGACGAATTTAACTACGGAGATAGCGAAAGTGATAAAGCCAACACAGAAAGCTATGAATGTCCATGGAGAAGCGAAGTATCTACGTCTCAGATGTGCCATAGCATCATGCCAACAACTCTTGCTGTAGTCAGCTGCAGCTTTGGTTGTTTCAGTGAAATAGAACTCCCCGAGAACAATTCCTTTGCAGAGATTGTTGAAAAGATCAGAGGCATCTTCACTGGCGCCTAAATAGTTTCGTATGATTCCAGCCTTTTCAAGCACTTGAACGTCTTTGGGAGTGTTTATGAGTGTATCCATTAGGATTGCATATGATGTGAAGTAACCAGGAACACCAGGGCAACACTGCTCATAAGCAATGAGGTTTCTCAAGAATGGCTCGACTGAGTCATCAAGGGCCAAAGTTGGGATTTTAAATTGAGCTCTATGAAAAGGACTCTGAGGTTTACAAAACTCGACCTTGTTACCCTCTTTAAACATGGCTCCTGCATATTCGAGGTCTGATGCACAAGGCATGACCACGCTAGAACCACCGTCTCCTGGATTTGCGTCGTGATGACGATAGTGGTTGTGTAGAATATCGAGGATATGATCATAGTTATTGTTTGTTGCTGTTGTTGTTGTTGCTGTTGTTGTTCCATCATTTTCTGATTTCCACATCTGAGGAAAATATGAAATGACATACTGACCAAGAGTCCGAGTTGGAGTACACACTATATGAGCCACGGTGAGGTCAAACAACTCGTTGAGGACAAAGAAAGGAAGCTGGTTCTCGAGCAGTAGCAAGTCATGTCGCACGTAGACGTCGGTCAAAATGCTGCCAAAAATAGGATCGCTGCTGGGTTCGTCGATATACATATGGAAAAACCTGTGAGACCTGTAGAGAAGTTCGAGTATGAAACAACCATCAATCACCAACATCTCCACATCAAGCACATCCTCAATTTCTTCAGCATAGCATTTCTTGGCTTTCTCTAATGACTCTCTCATTTTTCCAACACATTCCACTAGCACCTTCGATGTATTAAGCTTTTCTTCTTCCAGTCCACCCTTGGACGACAATATTCGATCAAAAAGGGAATTCGCGTAACTCTTTTTGACGTCCTGCATGGGCGAATTGAGAATGTGTTGGTCCTTGCCGTGAAGAGGCCCGATAGAGACGAAGCGAGGTGTATACGCACTTTCTTTTTGCTTACGAATCTCCTTAGGCACCCTATAAATGCAAGAGGACGAAGATTTGGATTGAGTCTTCTCTGCACTTTCAACCATTTTCTTACCAATGTCCTCTGTAAGCCTTTGAAGAGCTTCCTCACTGATACAATACTCATTGTTTTCACTCATTTTAATTGGGATTGGAAAAGAACTGTCATTGATGGAAGTCATGTGAAGAAAGTATATGTGACTTCTTATATACCTATCTTAGGTAGAGATATTGCTGCAAATGGTTTAGGAACAGCTTTATATAATGATCATCTTTATTCTTTTCTTTAACCAACGAAAGTTTTCGGCTTTAAGCCATTATTGGCATTCCCACATTGCTTGAAATTTGTGATCAAAGTTTGATACCACTCTGTTAGAAAGAGGGACTTGATTCACACAAAAGTTCAGTCTAATTTGCCTCTGAAATTTTGTATGTATGTAATCGTATAAAAATAATGATGCATTATAGTTTTTATTTTGTTTTAGTTTAGTAGCATCCTCAAAATCATAGAAAAACATGGAAATTTTAGAAAATTCTTAAAAATTGCATTGTTTGAAAAATTACTCACAAGATTATCAAAAGATTGAAAGAACCCCAAAATAAGAAAATAATACCATCCCAAAATAAGTAAATTTGTTCTACATTACATTGTCTACTAATTAGCTAATTGCTAACTAGTTTGAAATTCCCAGTAAAGTAGGGCAGCACTTTGCCTTGAATTGGCTATAGAAAAACTGAAAATTGTTTTGTTGACACACCTCATGATCAATATAAACACTAGAAGGCTATTGTAAATAAATATTTCAAACTCAATTAATTCCTCCATAATCTTGTCAAGTACTCGACAACTATCCTAAAGTAAGACTTCAAAATCAAGTTTTTTTTTTTTATAAAAAAAAAAAAAAAAACTCATGCAGTTTCACTACAATCCTTTAAAGAAATTGACAAATATTTTAAAGCAATATTTAAAAATCAAGCATTAATTCCTCCATAAAAGATCTCGAATCTTATTCCAAAGCAATATCACAAACTCAAGCCATTCCTGTACAATCTTTTCAAGAATGCCATTGTTAATCTAAAGTAGGATATGAAACTTGAGCAATTCTCGCACAAAAAGAAATTAGTGGTTATTCTACGCAAGATTCCAAACTCTAGCAATTCCTCGACAATATTTTTAAGCAATCTATCATTATTCTGCACTAGGATTTTAAGTTTGAGCAACTTTTAAACAATTCTTCCACAATATTTTCAAGAACTCGACAATTATTTGATCCTGGATTCTAGACTCAAGCAATTCCTAGACAATCTTTTCTAGGATTGACATTTATTGTGAAGCAAGATTTCAAACTTTTTATGGCAATTCCTGCATAATCGTTCCAAGCACTTGATGATTATGATGTAGGATTTCAAGCTCAAGTGATTCCTCCATGGTCTTTCCAAGAACCCGATAGAGAATCTCAAGCAAGATTTCAAACTCAGCAATTCACCTATAATTCTTCAAGCAGTTGATTACTATTTTGAAGCAATACGTCAAACACGACCAATTCCTACACAATCTTTCCAAGCACTCCGGCTGTGAATTTTTCGGAGCCAAAGCGAACTTTAAACACGGGGCTTTCATACAATTTTTTTTTTAAAAATAATTATGTGCTTTTTTTTTTGGAATTTGACCGTATCATAAATAAGGTTACTTCCAACTATATATATATATATATATCTATTAAACTTTACATAAATATACATTAAAGATTACAATAAGGAAAATGACCAAAATAATCTAAATTGAAATATCAAACAAAAAGTAAACAAGTTATAACAAAAATCACTTAAACATCATTCTTCTAGCATTTTTAACTATAAAATTACTAATCTAGTTCACATAATCCAACTTATAACCTAAATCATTTTCGATGGATAAAATTTCTAATTTATTTAATTTTTCATTTGATATAGTTAAGTAAAGGTAACATTTAATCAATTTTAATTTGAAAAGAATAATTACAAATAATATAATTAATCGTATTCTATATGTAATCTATATATTTGGAATATAACCATTCAATAATTTCAAATAATTCAGCACATCAATAAGTTTTTTGGTTTCTTCCCATACAAAACAATCATCTATTAATTTAAAATTATAACTGAATTTTGTTGAGATTTTTTTGATAAGCTAATATAATAATTAACAAAAATTTGAGACATTTTTTAGTCAATTTTCCGGGACTAAAGCGGCAGCTTTGCCAGCTTGTGCCCAAACCAGCCCTGCTTGCAATCAAGATTTCATACTCAAGTACTTCGTTCACAATCTTTTCAAATATTCTTCTTAGGCAAGGAATTTCTCACAATCTTTTCAAGCATTTAATGGATATTCTAAAGTTAAACACTACAACAAATTAGAGTTTTAAGTGTTGTTCAAAATTGTGAAATTAAATAAATAGATTTATGAAGAAAACAAATTATATACCAAGAACATATGCTGATAATTACAACTAAATTTCAACAGAAATACACAAAAAACAATAAAGGGTAAAGAGACAAAACCGAAGCCTGCACGGAAGCAGTTTCCTTAAAACAGATTTCGCCGCCTCACGAGTCGAGTGCTTGAGGAAACCCGGCGTCTGTCTCCCAAGATACGACGGTCAAAACCAGCTACGGCAGAAGAACTATCTGTCTAACTTAGCGAACAAAACAATGGCAACACTCTCTCACAATAGGAACTATCACGCAAACTGACTTGTAAAATGGAAGCAAAAATTTCTATATTAAAACTTGACAGAAGGGTCTCAATTTATACATGTATAGGGGAGAGAGGAAAAGCCTCCAGCCTTTAAGGCTAGTCATTAAAACACCAAGCATCCATAACCCCTTTCCACAAAATGAAATGTATGGATGCCCAAAGGATTCACACCCTTTAGCCAAGAAAAAAGATTTAAATACTCTTTAAAATCCTATTCATGAATCTAACATCATGAAGCAATTTCTTGGCAATTTCTTATTCAAAACCCAATGGTTTTTGGCTCACTTGGACCCAACACAAAAAATGGTTAGGACCCACTTTAATATTTAATTAAAGTCACCACACTTTAATATTAAATTAAAGTCCCCAAAAATCATTTTTTCCAACAATCTCCCACATGAATAAAAATTGACTGAAAGACTCAACAAACGGACATCGTTCAACAATAAAGACTCTGAGAGAGAGTACAACGGACTAACCCCAACATCAGAGAAGGTAGCTTTTGGTTTTGAACCTCTCCCAGTGAAAACCTATCGAGTTTACTGGCAGATCAATGAATAAGACATCTTGAACTACTCTACCGTTTATGTAAACTGAGACAATAGATCTCACACGGGAATTACTCCTACCACCATTATGTTCTCACTGGTGTGCCCTGTGTAGTCCTACTCTCGGCACTTCCACATGTAAAAAAAATCCCGCACAGCTCTACTCTTCAGAATCTGAAAAAAAATAAGGGTAAGCTAGATAGCCCAGTAAATAACCAACCATCACTGCTAGCTGGATCAAGTATAAAAAAATA